CAATTTTGTCCAAATCCTGCTGTGTTGGTGTATTTATTTGTTCAATAGTTTTAATATCATTTAGTAATTTGTCAATATTGGTTAAATCTATGTTTGATACAAATATTTCTTTTTTTTCGCCATTTTCCCAAAGTTTTATATTTTCAGCCATTTTTGTAGGAACAAATTTTTTTAAATAGTAATCATTTGGTTTTAAAACTCTAAAACAACAGGGCAGTGGACATCTGAAATTAAAGGGGAAAATTGTTCAACCTTTAATTCTGTTACCATTTCTAAAACATTAACTGAACATATGTAATAGTCTATAGTGCTTTTATTCTTGCAAGTTGTTTTAGTATTTAAATAGTCTGTACCTATTCTTCCATTTAATATAAAAAGATCATTGTCAGAGCAAAAATCTATAAGCATATTTCCATGCTCATTTGTATTAATATCTGCAGTATTTCTTTTCATAGGTAAATCACACTTTTCAAATTCATTTGTATCTTATATGTATCATATAAAAGCTCCTCATTACCATTTAAGGTGCATAAAAACTCATCACAATCAACATAATCTTGTTTTTCTGCCTACCCTTGAATTAAAATCTCCAAAAAGCAGTAATTTAGTAGCATTCAATTCTGAAATTTCTGATTGTATTTCAAGGTAAGGGTCAGGATGGGCATATTTTGATCTTATTGGTGGTATGTAAGTTACACCACACGTAAGTTTGTCATTATAAGTTTCTTGATCAAAGTTTACTGCAAACCATAATATAAGCTTACTGCTACTTTCTAAAATTTTCCACATGATGCCAGCAATGGTATCTTTCACAAAATTTTAAAGAGCTATGCCTCCAGATCTATATCTTGCTATTTTTTTTCTCTATTATTGAAATCATATTTTTATTTATGAAGTTAAATTAATCCATCAATTTAAAACGATATAGGGCCCGATGGGGATTCAATATCAATACTAGCTTAAATCTCTTGTTGCAACGAGTATGCCTATAATATCATAATTGTTTAAAATGAAAATAAAATCTGGATTTATGACCTTTGATTTCAAGCCGCATACATTTATGCTAATATTTTAAATGTTTCTTTTTTGTATGAATTGTGTGTTAGTCACATTGTCTTCATGTCCATGTATAATTTGGTTGTCCTCTGTGTGCCCCTATTTATCACTTTCTTCATTGTAACTATTGTGTGACATCACTCTTATTTCTAGGTCACTTTCACCACTATCTTCTGATAAAGGTTCTTCTCTTTGTTTTTTTGGTTTGTAAGTCATGCTCTAGGGGGGGGGGGGGGGGATCTCGCATCCCTTTTTCCTGTGTGCTTATTTTGATGTCTATTTTCTGGCATATTGTCTGATAAAGCTTGGAATCTATTTGCTGTTGATATTGGAGTACTGAACTGCAGGTGTCTGTTGCTATTGTAAAACACTTTTTTATTTTGTTGAACATTTTTTGGCTTGTTGTATTGTGTTTCTCTCCATGTATTAGCGGGGCCTCTGTTGGGTTCATCCTCTGCTTGGTTAGTGTTATGATTGCCATCTGTATTTGTTAGGAAAAATCTTTTTGTTGTCTATATATAGGCGATCCCTAACTAGTTTGACATTTGACCCTTTGTCTTTGGCAGCTCTCATTTCTGTATATAAGACTCTCCTTCTTTCTTCTATCTTTTTAGGAAAACTGATCTCTGACCGCAAACTTTGTGTTTTTTTAAACTTGGCGCTGAGTATTTTATGAGGTCCTTTTTGCTTTAAATCTTTAAACTTGGCAATAATAGGTCTGGGTTATATTTGGTCAGCCTTTCTTCTACCTAATCGATGTACTTTTTGAAATAGTATCTCCTCATCTATTGCCATGTATTTGCTTATGAATGATTTCAATATATGTCTTGAGTATTTTCATATTCACCTGGACCTAAATTTGTTTCTTCAATGCCAAAAAAAAAAAATCAAATTATTTTCCATACTTCTACATTGGATGTCTAGGATGGTTTCTTCTTGCTCATCTTGTTTTTGCTTTAAATTTTCATTTGCTATGTTCATTTTTCTAACTTCATCTCTTAAGCTTTCAATACATTTATTTTCTTCAAATTTTTGATCTACCACTGCACTCTTGTATGCTCAAGATTTGCTTCAATATATTTCATATTTTCTTTGAGTGTTGCTTCACGTTTGTAACGCCCGAGGTAAGCCAAATTTATCTTTTTGGTTTTAGCGCCATAAAACAATGTGCCGGGGTAAAACAAAACAAAACAAACAAACACTGCTGTAATAAGCAGTAACGTTTTCTAAGTTTCTTTGATTGCTTTCTTTGGTAATATACTAAAAGCACAAAATCACTAAAACTGCTCTGGAATGCTGCAAGTAATAACAAGATAAATCATTTTCTTATCCATTTTGAAAACTCGCCTTACCATATTCAGTTATTTTTTTACGACAATAGCAAAATAAGTTTTGAAATTTAACCACAATTTCAAGCAGTTGGCAAAAAAGAATTTGAGGATTTACTTTATAAGTTCTACTCGTTTCTGTGAATAGGTTCTAAGTTTTAAACAAAAAGCTCTTAAATCATAGCTCAAATCACCCTATGATTGTTTTGTGAAACTAGATAGTAAGACATCAATGTTAACAAAAATTACAGATAGGTACATGTAACAATTTTATGTCATGTTTATTGTGACAGTTCAAGTTAAATCTGAATTTTGAATAATTGCTTTGATCAAATTTGTAAAGTCCTTCTCTCCAGGTTATAAACATTTTCTTGAGTTCTTTCCTTTAAATTTTTAGAACTTCCTTTTTGGGCGATGACATTCTAAAGCGTTTCTGCCCAAACATATACCCGAAATCTGAGTTTGAGCTTAGAGAATTTCGTCATAACCTCAGTTCTTTGACTTTTTTAATGTTCACATGGCATCATTTTAAGCTACTGTTTAATCCAAATGTTCAATAACCTATTTAATTACATTTCCATGTGGTGAAGCAGCTTACAAGTATTATTTCACCATTTGTTTTGTTTCTCATATTTTGTTTTTCAAAGTTTTTGTTAGAACATGATATTAAATCTCATTTCATATACAATCTGATTGTTTTTCTCTTTTGGACATATTTTGTAACGATAATCTAATCAAAAAAAAATTTATATTTTACTTCTTTAGAAATAATAAAGTTATTGAACTTATATTACACATTAACAAACAAATGCAAATCCGTTGATACACATCAAATTTAATGGTGTTTTCAGACAATGACAATCAAACTGTCAGTGATAACAATTTTGTTGCTCGAATTAATTCTCTGCATATTTCTAGCAATTTATTCATAAGGTAGACACACTTATCACTTTGTATCGTAATAACAGAAAATGTTATTACAAATGATGCGAATGTCCTATATCTTGTCAAAAACAAAAGATAACGTAGCGGCGCCCTCAACGTTATGTTGATGAAAAAGATAATATTTTTGATTGTAGTACTTTGCACATCTGAGTAGAAAGATTGGTCATTTATCGTTATCAATATGTTAAAGCAGACTGGATATTAACTTCAAAGGCCATTAAGATAAAAGACGAAACAAAGAAAACCCAATAGGAACTTTAGAAGCAGATAAAATTGTAGCAATATATAAGTAATGCCCTAAAATTTGATCTGTGTCTATTTCTGAACCCTGAAACACATTTTAACTTTATGTTTTAGTTTAATTGTAAAATAAGACATAAGCTCTCACTCCAGGAACGATTATTTTTAGCATACAGTAACGCACGAAATGTATGGCCATATCACAAGTTTATAGCACGATAATTGAACTTGAAATTGACTAGTTTATAGCACGATTATTGAACTTAAAATTGTAAAAGTACATGTGAACCAATAAATAAGTTCAGACATGATGAGAAAAGATATTTCCTGTAAATACTTTTCGTTTACATAAATGTAAAATCACGGTCAGCGGTACGTTTCTACGAGTACTGGATTTAATTCTCACCATTAATTCACCTTATGTAAAGATAGTATATTAAATATTCCAACAGTAATATATAACTTTTTCAAAACTGATAAGACAAGAAAAAATAAAAATAAAAAACTTGCTTTTTCTATCGTAATTAATAAACAACATGAAATCTGAATGATTTTATCTGCGGATTTTGTTAAAGTTCCAGGATGTACATGATGGTTATCAATTTTGACATGAGTATAAAGAGCTAGGTTCACTAACCATAGATTTTTGCCCTAGATATTTTGCAAAAATTAATTCTATGCATATGTTTCATTTTCCAGTTCAATCCTTAAACTGTGAAAAACATATACATTGTCAGTCATATGTTACATTTAGTATGATTAAAGGTCAATTAAAATACCCCTATATCAAGCAACCCAGCAGGCACTCGACGTTGTTTCAACGTTGAAACAACGTTGAAATATGGTCGTGACGTTGTTCTACCAATATTCAACTATGGACGACCATACGGTTATATTGCCAATGTATATACAACGTTGATTCAACATTGTTTATGGTCGAAGTTTTACATTTAGTTTAATCATTACATAAACCTTTATACCACTAATTTTGTGTTTATTATTCCTTTATTGAATTAGTCTGTAAGTGATTTTTGTCAGGAAAATTTGCGTTACAATCTTTTTCCCGTATATTCAAAATTAGCGTTTAAACAAATAAAGTTGGAAATAATTTTTCACTTTATATTAACGCTTTAAATGTTTAGTTAATATGTTTTGTTGTTTGTTGTTTTTTTTTTTAGTTCTTTATGAATAATATTAATTAGTCAAAACCCCATTTATAAAATAACGCTGGTCAGGGAAGTAATTGTTGCGGGTCTATGATTTTGTTTTGTTGGCTATGATTATCGTTCGTGCAAATGGTGGCGCTGTTTGAAAAAATTTGAAAACAACACGATTGACAATTTATTTTGGATTTCGAAGGTATTACCGTAATGTTTTACTTTAGTTTACTGATTATTTTCTAAAATATATTTATTTATTCTTAAAATTCTACTTTAATTTACTGTATGAAATAAATGAAAGATGAAAACACATGATTGAGTTGATTTGACACGTTTTCGCGACCTAATTGAATGATTTGGGTTTGGTAGGCCTTGTAAGCATGAAGTTATTGATGTCCTTGGCAATTTATGATTTTACAAATCTTGTCATTCTTTAATTTATTTTTCATATTATTAAACATTTGTCTGTACTATATCCTAATTAGAATTTAATCAATTATAAAATCGAAACCTATTAAGTAGTTCGGCCCACATAATTTACGTCCCAAGACAATATATAACAATGTCTATGTTTATATTTTAGTGATAGTATAATACAGTGTTAATAAGTTTAAAAAAAATACATTATTATTAAGTTAACTTACAAAGTTGAGTGTTAAACTTTAAAGTTGAATAGTCGTAAATTTATATAGAATAATAAATCTAATTCTATTTTATTATATATTATTTTATATTCTAGATCCTGGTCCTGGCTGAAATTTGGAGTATTGCAGCTGTAGTCTGTAAACCATACACTCAACATGAAAAGGACTGTCAGGTTTGTTAAATTGAAATTAATTCTTATAAATTTATACATTTGAATTTATTTACAGTACAAAGCATAAATTTTCAACTACTGGATATTTATCTTGTCTTAAAATATATTATTTTCTGAATATTCCTGTAATATTATTAATATAAAATTTACATGTTTGTTGATTTCAGGATGCTGCATAAAATGGTCTTAGCTAGAGCCTAGAATGTTAATTTCTTGGGAATATGCTGCAAGGAACTGACGGGGAGCAGTTTTTCTTACCAATCATAGGTGAGACTTTTAAATAGCTTCTTTTTAAAAGATTTTGTTGTCTTATATACAGTATTTGCTGTCAATATGAAACTTAGCTATATTTCAATTTCTATGCTGTTTTATGATGTAAATCTTAAAGAAAAGCATTTTAAGATAAAAACAAATCACTAAGTTGAGTAATTATATGTATAATTTGAGATTGACCAAGTCAACAACTTCTTATTTTTATTTGCAGAAGCAGTAAGAGACAGCCAAAAAAGTACTCAAACACCTGACATACCCAGAAAGATCTAGAAGAAAAGATTGGAACAGATTGTAGCTTAATTGTTAAAACTATTAAAGTGAATTTAAGCTGCACTTGAGCTGTATTTTTTAAATAAAATATCTGAAGTATTTAATATTGTCTTGATATTTTGTTAAACTTTGTAACTTTGCTTTATATCCAAAAATTAAAGTATGGTGGGTTTTCAACGTTGAAATGACATTGAAACTTCAACGTTGTACCGACGTTGAAGCTGCAACGTTGTATCAACGTTGAAATTTCAACGTTGTTTCAACTTTCAAATCCGAATATAAATCCAACCTTATTTCAACGTTGAAATCTGACCATAATTCAACGTTGAAACAACGTTGATGTGCCTGCTGGGAAAATTATGAAAATTCACATTTTTTTGGGTTCAAAAAGAAAATTAAAGTAACTGCACAGTCCAGCCCCCCCCCCCCCAAAAGATTAACACGTTTGCATTAAAGAGAATCAAAAAAAAAAAAAAAAAAAAAAAAACACAACCTGATTGATCAACTTGATGACTTCTTTCTCATGAAAGCATTTCAGTTGTTAACTCCGTACAATTTGATGATTAGTAACAATAGAAAATTAGTTAGAATACATCTTGTTATCGACATTTTACTTGCTTTACATTCATTTCATTATTTGATGATGATATCATATAGAGTATATTTAACTGATTTTATTGTTTCAACGCTAGCTATCCTTTTAAAATACTTGGCGCCTCAATTGTAACTTAATGTCTTAGAAAAAAGGAAACCGAAATCCTAAAGGAACACCCAAAACGACAAAATTGAAATTGTTAAAGGCTCAGTTTGATTAAGCCTGTTCATGGCCGGTATCAAACGTGTAAGGTATCGAGCCAGACGGGTAATATACACATTAAATTTCCCCGATGGGTACCCCGCGTTGTAAACAACATGCGCCGTGCGATGCGCGTACGGTTTGATTTTACGCGATATAAATTCCGATTTACAAGCACTTTTAAACTGTCAAATGATAAATATTTATCAAAATACAGTAATGATGCATATTCTCGTCAGTATAGGAAACAAATATGACCTTGTGAAAGCTTGATATTAATTCCAAACAAGTGCGTTCAACAGACTACTCCTTTTCTCTTGTTTACATCCGTTATGTTCGAAAGAAAATACGTCATGTATTTATGTGACGTCATGTTATTGTGAAGGGGTATCCTAAAGGGAATCTTATTTCGACGTTTCATTTGAAGTAGCAATGATTTATTTTAAAATCGTCTTAACTCGGCACGGGAAGGGTAATAAAAATATTATTTTGGTTTTGGAGTGATATATGTGGATATATTACCTGCCAAGATAAAATATCACTCGGGTGATATAAATCTTGACAGGTAATATATCCACATATATCACTCCAAAACCAAAATAACATATATTATGTATTGTTTTTATGTTCTTGTTATTCGTAGATGCATCATAATTCTCCGAAGCAATGGAGCTGCAGAGAGATAAAAAGACAACAAGAATCAGACACATGCAATTATAAGCAGGATAGGCACATTGACAGTCAAATACACATCCACAGGCAATACTTAGGAAAAATGCGAGCGAACTATTTATCCGTGAGAATTCAAGCTAAAATCTCTAAAGTGTTTTTTAAATTGGGTTTACGGCATACCATCACAATTTATGTCAAAGGGCGCCGAAAGATGAGTTGGGCTAACCTCGGGTGTTTCAAACTTAAAGCCACACCAGGGGTAAAAACCACCGTACCTGCTGGAGCTAAGAAATTCAAAGACTCCAGCAAACATTTGTACAAAAAAATCTTACAATTTATCTTTAGTATCGTAAGTTAAATCTTAAGTACTTTTCAAAAAGCCACTCATAAGTTAACATTTTATAGTAAGATAAAATATTCAATTACGATAAATCTTACTATAAAAACATCCCTAGCAACGTTTATTTGTTATTGATGTGCATACTCGTTATTTGATTCCGTTTTAAAAAGTAAATAAAGAGCTTGAAATATGTATTGAACACAATCAAGTTACAATAAGAAGAAAAATTATTCAAACTGATATATTTTCTATCTTGATTAAAAATAACTGCATGTATCTAAGTGATTCAGATAGAAAGTCCGATAAGTTATTGATCAGGTATAAATAAATAAAAAGGTGCCACTAGTACATGCTGGAAATAAAATCGAACTCATAAAATTGTACAAATAATAAGTTTTCAAGAATTCTATCTATAGTTCACATTTAAACTATTCATAACACTCTCCATAATGTCGTGGCGTCACACATGTTTATGTCAGAAAAATAATTTTAGCTTAATTTGTGTTATATATAACATTCTGTCAGTGATTTGTTTTTTTCAATTTTCAAAACAACCTGTGACTTCCAGACGGGGAAAATATAACACAATAAATCAGAAAAGGGGAAAATCAAATTCCAACAACTGACAATAAAATTTATCCACACATTTTATAACATTTTTAATTTTAATTCAATTTAATATGCATGGTACATAGCAGAGGCTTTCTACAGTATAGGAAGAGCTTTCTGTCATCTAGCTAATATTAAGGTCATGATTCTGGTGAAGAATTGCACAGAGCATTTTAAGAGTAAAATATTAGCATTTTTTAGAGGAAAATATACATATGTTGGGCTAGTGCTTTGTCTGTTAAATACAGGAAACAAATCACTGACTGTTTGCTTAATATATATAAGTCCTTCCATTTTTTGTTTTTATTCAGTTTAGATAAGAAATACATGATATTATATATGTTTTTTTTTCCCTTAGGCTATTGAGCAGTGATGTTTGGCTAATCATTGCCCTGCAAAATACCATCAAAATATTAATAAATAGTGACATTAAATTATGGATTTTTAATCTAAAAGCATTATGAATATAAAATGAATTTGGACTTAAAATATTGGATATAAACTATTTTTGGTTTTGGAGATATTAGAGAAAAAGTTTTTTTCCCTTTGTTCTGCAAGACTAAAATTAGAGAATTTAGTTTTTTTCAACAGTCTTGAGATGTACCCTGGTGGGATTTAAAAATAGTTTTTCTGAAGTTTTTTACTCTCCTGAATATAATAACAGTACTGGTTCAGTAGTGATTTCAATAGATTGGATTTAAAAGGATTATCTTGGACAATACTGTATACTTGGATTATTATACCATTATTCAACGATCATGAGTGGAAATAAAAAGGAGCAATCAAAATTGACATTCAGTGGTAGCCAGAAGGCATCAACAAAACCTCAAGTGAAAAGGTTTCAGCCAGATACTAGTAACAACAGCAATAATAGTATGGATGAACTAAATAATATAACAGAACAGTTAGATTCAATGAACAAAAACATAGCTGAATTGAGGGAGGATCTCAAAAGTATTCTCAAGAAAGATGAGGTGGAAAATTTGATAAAAACTACAGTCACCAACATTGTGACCAGCTTAGAAACGAAGTTGCAGGCACATGTTTCTACCCTTGTTAATGAAAGAACAAAATATCTAGATGATAAAATACAAAGTCTTGAATTTGAAAACAACTCCCTGAAAGAAAAACTCTCTGATTTTGAAAATAAAACTGCAGAAAAATTACGAGATTTTGAAGAAAAAATTACCAAAAATTACAACGCTAGCATGGAAGCAAAACAAAAGATCAAACTATAATGAGCAGTACTCGAGAAAGAACAATGCTAAAATACTGAATATTCCGGAAGAGACCAGGGAAACAGAAGAGAGCTTAATGACCACTGTCACAAATCTCATACAGACCAAATCTGGCGTCACCCTTAAACCAGAGGATTTCATTGCTATGCACAGAATACCCACAAAGAAGGGTCTTATCAGACCAGTGCTCTTCAAACTCAGAAATGACACCCTGAAATCCCCACTTATGCGAAAAAGAGGTGCAATGAAGGCTGCTGGACACCGCTTGGTAGACGATGTTACCAGGCTTAACCAAGGACTGATCAGTCGCTTATCAATGCATCCAGAGATTGAAAATGCATGGTATTTCAATGGGTCAGTTTATGGACAAACAAAATGCAGTGAGCGCATAAAATTTGACATATATGACAATATAAATAACATGATCAGTGAATTCCGTGGGAGAAAAGGTAGTTAAAAACAGCATTTAGTGACAGAACAATTGACTTCAGCACTGCCTATAGATCAGTAAAAAACATTGACTCCTTGTATTGTTTGTTTTTGTTGTATTTTAATATATATATATATTGTCACTGAAAGCCTTCTTTTCCTTTTGCATGTACATAGAAGTACTACAACTTTATCTTTAAATACCTGTGTATAAGATTGCTTTGTTGTAACAATCTAGGTTATAATACATCTTTTTGTACTTGCTTTCTTTGTCAACTTATTGAAATGATAGAGGTACTATGTAATTTAATTCTTATCTTTACACCATTTGTTTTGCTTTGAGAGAGTTAAAAGAAAATAAGTCATTATATTATATAAAGATTTAGTGTAATTGTCTAATATAAATTTCTACAACTGACATATACATGTACTTCTTTTCTTGCCATGCTGAATTATATAATCAATATTAGTTAAATAGGAAGGTTTTGTTTACCTTTTTTTATTTGTATTTATAGTATATTATCATATATTGAATAATAATAAGTGTATAAACATAAACCTTCTTAGATATTCTAGTCGGGACCATCTGACTCCAGGTGAAAAGATTACACTTTAAACATGTATATAGACAAACAAACATTATAAATATTGACATTATATTATTACTTGAATTCCTTTTTAATTTATTATGGATTAATTCATGTAATCAGAAACTTATAAATGTTGTTTTTATTTCCTATCCAATTCATTGTTATAACATATCTTTGTGTAGATATACTTAATTGTTTCTTAAAAGAATAAATAATACGGTTTAAATTTATATGTATTTGGCAGGGTTTAATATAAACATGTATTTAGTTTTTCTGCTGGTCAACTTCTATCCTTCGCCTTAATCGGGGAGGAGTTTTACTTTCAGTGGGATGGTTAGACTCACTGGGTAAAATGTGGTATTCAACATCCTGTGAAGTTGCCAGTAGGATTTCTGATGCTGTTTTGTTATTTTAAGATTATATTCCAAATATTATATAGTTTAAACTGATTTATCATCCACTATGAATTAAAATGTATTTTATTGTACCTGATACATCAACATCTTATGATATGTGTGTGTAAATCATGACATTTTTATATGTTGACTTTTTGTTTTAATTTTATCTATATGTGGGTTTAATGAACTTGTATTTAATTTTTGGGTACCATATGTCTTACCCTGCAAGTACATATGTTAATATCAATTGTTTGTAAAAAATTTAAGCATTTTTTGA